CCCACGTTTGGCCCAGACCACCCAAGAAGTTACCAAAAAGTGCTGATCTTGTATGCTCCCGCTTAACCCCCCGCCACTACGTGTGCTACTCCCCGTGTCGCCTCAGGGGTATTGTGCCCACCGCGATGGCCGTGACGCGGCACGCGAGCTCTACTCACATGCGAACAACAGCCCGCCGCCACACCAATTTCCGTCCAGCGGTCCGTAACGCCGCGGCGTCGTCACCGCTCTGCGTGCGTTTCCACGCGGCCAGACGACGCTCCGGCGCGGCCGACGCAGGGCAGCTGGATGGCGGCCATCTCGCTGCGCGCTAGCGACGAGTTCGGGCCGACAGGCGTCAAAATGTTTACACGACTGCACTCTTTCCGATCGTTTAGGTTTCGGATGCTGGCAGGTTGCGAATCAAAACCGCACTCAGAATGTGCCCGAAATAAACACATTTTTCTTGGGGCGAGACGTTCGCAGTAGAAGCGAAGTTCAGTACAGAAAGATATGTGCTATTTTGACCCTAAATAGTGATATCAAGTTAAACTGAACGCTAGGGAGCCAGCATCTTTACGTCACATCTTTCTCGGTCGGCCATGAACATCACATTGCGTTATAGATTGTGTGCATTCCGCTTTGTGGACAGTCTAGGCCCTAAAATGAAATATATGTATATATATATATATATATGTATGTATACATATTTATATATATATATACATATATATATATATATATATATATATATATATGTGTGATATATATTGAATTCTCCTGCGCTCATTGAAAGACTAGTTTTAGGATCCTTATGTCGAGGGTCTCGTCCAGCTTTGGCCGCAGTATCTTAAGCTGAGTCTAAGCCCACCGAGCTCATCTTCTCCACATTAACTGGGCAAGAGTCCGAACTCGTTGCTTTTGCTGCACATGAGTCGGAATACGTATTTAAGTTCGATCGTTTTGATTCGGACGCCAAATTCATCTATTTCACACTTGTTTTTTATTTCTTTTATTATCTGTTTATCTTTATATGCATACCTTTTATCGTCTATTATATATTACTTGTATGCATTATTTTACACTATCTCTGCATATGAAACCGTGCCCACTTTTCACAACACATGATGCTGTGCATCAACACAGTCAACGTCCCTCTATTTCGTCTTCAGCATTCAGTGTCGAGCTCACAGAATTCCAGAGCTCCGTTTGCCGATGCAGCCGCAGTAGGCCCGCTGACACCTCACCCTTCAGTCGCAGGTTCTTCTCCTTGACGAACATCTCGTCGTCGCTGTCGACCATGTGATTGTTGTAGGTCTTGCTGTCCATGGAGCGGAGGCGGGAAGGCGCGTCGATAGAGATCAGCTCAAATATGTTGTTCGTCTTCTTCAGTATCTGCGGCGCCCAATTCGTGATGCGGTCACATGGTATGGCGGCCACGGCGGAGCGCTCACATGCAGTCAGCAGTGCGGCCTGAGCCAGATCCGCCCTGTGACGCGTATGACGTGGGTGATGGTGCGCCGAACAGTGCGTATTGTTCGCATCTGTGGTTGCGTGCATCCACGGTGTGGGCTATGTGGTGTGCAGACATTTATGTGAGGGATAGCTGTCTTCTCTCAGGTGATGGGTGCACTCCCCCCGCGGAATACAAAAAACTTGCGCGCGCCCGTAGCAGCGCTGAGAGTGCTCCGGAATGACGCTCATTTATCCCGGAGGGCGATATACCCCGACGAGGTCAGTGGCTGTAGACGGAAGATGGGTATTAATCGATGCGGCATAGTGGGTGTCGCTGCGCAGACGCGGGGTGGAAAACAGAACTCACCCCAGAAAACCGGAACTCGACTAGCGGCCGAACCAAGTCGAACCACTCGTCAATCTTCTTTCCTATCAGCTCCGGAAGAATGGTCATCATAGACTGGCCCAGATTCTTTACCACCAGGTTTGACCTGTTGAGAAGGTGGCCCGGGGGCGGGGCGCTGTTACTGCGCGCGCTGACAAGGATCGGGAGCGGTCGAGATAAGTACTACGCTAGCTTTTTTCCTGGTATGTCCTGAACGAAAAAAGCGGAAAGTGAAAGTGAAGTGTTTCATTTGTCCAGTAAGCACGAGGTGCGTCGTTGAAAAGAACACATTCAACATAATTCTAAATATTCACAAGTCATTGGCCGATGAGGCGTTACGTAAGAGACGGGTTGAATTTCTTCACGTGAGAAAGGGGGAGTACTAGGGGCGCGTACACTAAGGGGCGAGCGAGCGCGACCTGGGGTCGAATCTTAGTGTTCCCCAACCTCCTTCGTTTTAAATTTTGTCTTGTTTCGTGGTAACGTATAAATGCTTGGCATGCCAGGCAACCTAAAATGTTGACAAGAGCACATAAATGATGGCGAAACGCGTGTGCATAATTAAACCCACATGCCATGTTTTCGCACACTGTATCTGTTTTGACCAACAAGAAATTAATTCAGTGCCCTAAAGTTTGGATGAAGATATATTGTGGCTGTCAAATGCGAGCTGTAATTTGTCGTCTTAGCTTGCATATTCCCTGACATTACGGGCGGACTTTGCTCCCGCCCCCACCCTTTCACGGGAGGAGCTTTCAAAGCACCTCCAGCCTTCCAGGACACGCTTTCAGAGCACCTCCAGCCTTCCAGGGCACGCGCCGAATGGCAAGCTCAGCGTAGCGCGTTCGTCACGCAGGGCCAACGGTCGATAAAGTGCGTTTTGGCGGTCGGCCCTGACGTACTCGGAGCGCTGCAGTTACGTCAGCTTAAACGTTTAACCCCAAAAGAGGAGCGGGAAACCGCTTTGTTCTTAAAAACCTGCAAGGTTGCTGGAGAGAGATCTGCCAGTGGCGGACTGAGCCAGAGCGCTGCAGTTACGTCAGCTTAAACTTGTAACCCCAAAAGACGAGTGGGAAACCGTTTTGTTCTTAAAAACCTGCAAGGTTGCTGGAGAGAGATCTGCCAGTGACCAGATCTCTCTCTCTCTCTCTCTCTCTCTCTCTCTCTCTCTCTCTCTCTCTCTCTCTCTCTCTCTCTATCTCTCTCTCTCTCTCTCTCTCTCTCTCTCTCTCTCTCTCTCTCTCTCTCTCTCTCTCTCTCTCTCTCTCTCTCTCTCTCTCTCTCTCTCTCTCTCTCTCTCTCTCTCTCTCTCTCTAGGTTTGGAGAGAGATCTGCCAGTGACCAGATCTCTCTCTCTCTCTCTCTCTCTCTCTCTCTCTCTCTCTCTCTCTCTCTCTCTCTCTCTCTCTCTCTCTCTCTTCTCTCTCTCTCTCTCTCTCTCTCTCTCTCTCTCTCTCTCTCTCTCTCTCTCTCTCCCGCTCGTACTCCTGTCCGGCTCTCTCCCGGCGTCTGCCGTGCTCGGCTGGGCTGTGCCCGACAGTGACGCACGAGCCAACCGTGCCGCGCCCAGCCCAGTGCGCCGACGACGCAGGCTCCCTCCCCTGTTGATCCAGTTGGCCACCGGATGGCCACCGCGACGCTGACGGGAAAAACACCACGCGCCAGGCCAGACAGCAGTGGGATAACTAGATCGTGCTGACCCTATTTACAGTGCATTATTTTCAGGATTGCGGGCAGTTTGTTGAGCCAATGTAGGTGCCTTTTATCCTTCGAAATTCGCGCTCCTCTGGAAAAATAAGGTTGAGTTGCGTCCGCAAAACTACAAAGGTATATGGAATGCCATAATCAAGCCAGCATCGCTTTTAGGTTGCCATTGGCGCAATGCTGGCTACTGTTTGCCAGAGGCGGCGGCGCCCATTAAGTCAACAACGTATTCGCGTCAGAATTCAGTGACGAGTTCTGATTCCTCTAAAAATGTTTTCGTAAGCCAAACCACACCCGCTGGTTACGAAAATGTGGCCCGCCTGCTCTATCGTAAGCACTTTTACGTGCAGGGGGACAGGAAACAAAGTCAGCCAGTGGTAATGTCAGATGAAAGTTATCTGCAAAAAACGGCACCAAATTGAAAGCCAGACAAACATTACAGCCTACGACGACAAAAGACTTTCCAATGGCAAGTTTCAAAGTCACTTCAAGGTCGGAGGACAGGTTAGCGCCACATTCCCGCCGTCTCGAACTGGCTGTGTATAAATGGATCGTCATTTGTACACTATCCGAGAGTCTGATATCCTTTTCGTAATCAGTCTGAATTTCATAATATGAAGGCTCTCAAAATGGACCAATCAAGAAGAGCTTGCAAAGTCCTATTCAAGGCCAAAAGGGGAGGGGGAGCGCTGCTCTGTCCCTGTTTGGGACCAATCTTGGCAAATGATGTGCCATTGGAAAGCCCAGTGGACGTTCCAGCCTGGGTTATAAAACACCATCATTTGGGATGGTTGCTTCTGCTAACAAACTCAACACGCATGATTTCAAGTTAATAAGGACGGGGAAGCGATGCGCTGTGGCTTTAAGGGACCTATCTACACAAATCAGGTGTCATTAGAAGGCCTAGAGTCTATATCAGCCGGGGCAATAAGCTACTGGTACGCACCCTGGGCTGCTGCGCCTCACCAAATTCGCTGGCTTGTCGCAGGGCGAATGCAACGGGACGACGTTCTACACGCACGATGATTACAGACAGGGATTGATCGTTCGCACCCCACTCACGTGAAGGCAATGGAGAAGGGAAACAATTCGAAGACAATGCTGGCCCTGATGGGCAAGCTCTGCTCGTCCCGCACCAGCTGGAACGAGTGCGCTTCGCGGTAGGCCTGGTTGTCGAATGTCAGCTGGAACGTCACGTGGAACGAGTCCATGAAGGAGTCCTCGCGCACCAGCTCGATCTTCATATCTGTGTCGTAAAAGTGCCGCGCCACCTAGAGCAAGAGGCAGCCTGTGAGGTCGCGTGGGATGAGTCCATGAGCAGTCCTCGCGCACCAGCTCGATCTTCATATCTGCGTCGTAGATGCCGCCCCACCTAGAGCAGGAGGCAGCCTGCGATGCCACTTGCTCCGGACAGCAGAAATAACCAACGGGACTCCGTAAATTGCCAATGGCTCGCAGCAATGAATTGTGGTCGAGGACAGGCACTTGGCGGCATTCCGGATACAAATAGATCTATGTAACCTCCAAATCCAACAATTACACTGTCAGCAATGGACTGGACTCGGGAGAAACATAATATCCTTAATTTCTCGTCTGTTCAGGGTCGATTTCATCACTGTAGCGCGCTCGTGCCATGCCAGCAACCGACCGTGTCATGCCAAGGCACAGAAAAGGTGCCTCCCATCATCGAGTTTTGTACACACACAGTTGCGCGCTTGGGATATCGAGCAGCACGCGGTCTTTATTTTTAATTGTCGGTATAATTTCCCCGAGATCGACACAATCCTCCCTCGTCAGCCCGCTTCAAAGCGCTGGGGAGCTGCTGGCCACCCTCGCTGGCCGCCGCGCTGGGGAGCCGCTGGCCGCTGCGCTGGGGAGCCGCTGGCCGCCCTCGCTGGCCGCTGAGCTGGGGAGTCGCTGGCCGCCCTCGCTGGCCGCTGAGCTGGGGAGCCGCTGGCCGCTGCGCCGCTGCGCATCGCTGAGACTGGTGCGGCAGCACATGGCACAACGCTCGGCCGTAAACGGACGACCTGCCACGGGCCCGACGGACGCCGGCACGGCATCCCCCCCCCCCGGGCTGGCCTCGCCCTCCGCTGCCGCCAACCCGCCCAACCGCAGCCATGCCGTTGGCAAGATGGAGCGAGCTGGTTTATATCGGGTCAGTTCACCTCGCCCCCGGCTCCCATGCTCCAGCCTCTCGTCTGCCGCGGCTTTGCGCGCTGCAACGGGCACGTGTACTGATTGCTGGGTGTGCGGCGGCCGCCGCCGCAGGTGCTCACCTGTTTGATCTGGCCCATGGTGTAGAAGCCGTAGCCCCTGCGCTTGCTGCGGTAGTGCAGCACCATGCCCGTGGCCGTCTCGCTCTCGCAGAAGAAGGACGGCGGCCGCATGCGCGGGTAAGAGAACTTGAGGTACTCGTGCAGGTTGTCCAGGCCTGCCGTGACATGGGGACCGTCACCTGGCGCTGCCTTCGTGGGATACCATAGGCTTTAGACGTTCACCATCCAGTCACCTCGGTGGCAATTTCGGCCTATCAGGCTGATATGCTGCGGCCCTAGCAGAGCTTTTCCACACGAGTGCTGTATAAATCCAACATTTAGGCAAGCGAGCTCTTCGTTTCGTAGTGCCGAAGGGTGGCGGCGACATCCACTGTGTATGAACCCCCAACACGCGCGACACGCTTTGCTAGTAGATGGCTGTCAATGTCAGTACACACTTTCGTCGGACACAGAATAAGCACAGATGCAGACTACACACTTCTGAATCATTCAGTGATGCGGCGTTGTCGCTCGTCGTCCTCAAACGCAATTTTAAGAAAGCGTCTGAGAGCTCGGGCTACAGATTCAGATTCAGATGTGTGGTCATCAAGACGCGTAGCTATGGTAGCTTTTCACCTGACATGCCAATGGCAATAGAAAGCTGAGGACGAATGCCTGGGTCCCACTCTAACGCAGCACAAAGCGCGTACGACATGCGCACACTGTGTCTTTCAGCTGTGTCTGAACAGGATCGTGCGTTTTAAATTTCCCTTGACTGATGGCACATGCCGATCAATGTTGGAACGGTTCAGCAAAGCTCAGCAAAACTTCGATACACAGTCGGCGCCTGTCTGTTCCAGCTTGGTCTCGAGGCTGTGTTATGTGAACTGTGTTTTGGGTGCTGTTGGATGCAATTTGGGTGCTGTCACTTTGCAGCTCACGAACGACTGGCCAGCTACCACATCTAATATTTCTGCTTATCCGGCTGCAATGTAACGTCAGACCCTCTTGTGAAAACCCAGGCCAACTCAACAGGATTCTGGAGAACTCGCGCTAACGATGTCAACACCGCCCACTCGCGGTTTGGTGAAGGTCTCCACGCAGTTGCATAAGCTCGTGGCAGCTGTTGCCAGACCGGCGTCACCGTTACCTCAGCGGGAGTGAGGACGGGTGGTGAGGATTGCTATGGAGGGGAACGTAGCGGCCGGCCGGCGGCGGCGCCCTGGAAGCGGGGGCGGACTGGGTCAAGGCAGTCACGCGGCCATGCTAGTGGTGTACAGTCGCCAGCGGAAAAGTGTGGGGGATGGTCTCTGAAGGACGGAATCGACGCCTGTCAGAGGCCGTTTGTCGCACTTGCGGTCACTCGTGGCAGCCAGGAGCAAAATACGTTAGGTGGAATCGAAAGGGTTTGATTTTACGACAGCAGTGAGCGTCAGGCCCCACATTTCCAGGGATCTGTGCGGGGCAGTGTTTCACTCACCATTGAGAAAATCCCGCACGTGCCGCCCCAGGACGGAGAGCACTCGGTCGTATCCGTACTGGCCGACGAAGTTCACGAAGAAGACGCCCATGTTTTCGAAGAATTCCTGCTCTGTGACCTTCAGGACCTGCGCCAAGAATGACGTGTTCTTCAGGTGTGACTGAGTTTGGAGACACGGGTTCCGTGGCAGGAGCTGACCTGGCATTACGCTTATCTTTTATAAACAATAGTTTGTGTTGAAGACAAAATGGGAAAAAAATAAGCAAAAACAGCTTTGTTAGATTCTTAAAAAAGCATTCCTAACGATCTCTCTGTGAATTTTATCTCGTATTGTAGCTCCTTTTTAAAGGTCTGGATCATACAACAAACAAACTGCTGTGTTCATGAAGTAGAAAATTCTGGCATGTTTTCCCCTTTGATGTTAGTCAACAAGATTGCGCGTTCCAATTCTCCTTTGAACAGTGGTACATGCGGATTAATGTTGGTACGGCGCAGCATAGTGACCGCTTTGATACACGGTCTAACATCTAGCAGTCTTGCCTAGGGAACGAATCTTCTAGCAAGGAGCTATTTTTTACACATGTGGCTCTGCAAACTGTGCGCTTTAACGTGGTTTGATGGGAGACAGGGACGCGTAGCTACTGTGGTCCCATTTATGCCAGCTGTTACAACGTAAATCAAAGTTGAAAAACCTGGGTGAAATATTTCTTCAAGAAATATTGCGCATCTTTTTTTGTATATTAAACGTCGCATATGGAACCATATTCTGATGCGCATTTAATGAGAAACTAGTTAGCATACTATTAGCATAGCCTAGCGCAATCTCGTTTGCCGCACTTGCAGGCTGCAGTTTCGTGATTGATTTCGTACATTACTAAACATTTACTATGTTCGGTAAAATAATGTTATTAGCACAACAATGAGGACGGAATGACCTTAGATTTTATGTACGCGTAGCATCGATCGAACGGCCGCAGTATCTAATCCAACCCAATCGAATCCAATAGTCACGACATCCTATTGAAGGAAATGACCGCTGCTGACACGTAGCCATATATCCGCCCTGTCATCTCTTGTAGGCCAGGTCCTGCATCCCCGCACGCTGGCCAGACCGGAAATTGACTGAAGCCATCTACAGCGGCGCCAATGGCTTCCAGTCCAGAACAACGGATGGGTGTCTCACATGTCGCTGGGCTGCCATATGGCTCGTCCGCAAGGCGGCGGAGAATTCTGTGCGGGATGCTCGTGGTGTTCGAACCTAAATCTAAGAAAATTTCGGCATGATTCAGGCGCTGTTGTCACGGCTTTAACACATAATGTTCGCGCCATTATAACGCTTGTTTGGTTTCGTGCAGCAGGAGGCAGCTATATCGATAAGCTCGAGAGGTCTCACTATAAAAAGACGCACAAATTCCTGAGGGCAGTGGCCGGATCCAGGCATATTAGTAAGAGTTAGTTAACTTCCTAACATCAAATACGGGCGTAAATACGGCTCTTTCAAGTGATTCGGCGCGCACTGATCTGCAACATTTACCTGTACTCACTGATCCGTGGCATTCAGCTGCACTAACTGTAAGCCACAGCTTACACACGTCTTTTACGAAGTTTTTACCAATGTTCATCATGGCTGACTTATATACTACCCATCAACTGGACATCGATATCACATCTTGTGAAATTTCAGGTGTCCTCCAGCCATCCTCGCTGGTTGCAGTGTGCGATTCGTAAAATCCCTAGCGAGTGAGGTGTTCACGACGCTCCTATTGCCTATACCTAGTATTCATTGCGGTTGCGTGCCACGCTATGCAGCCACCTCGCGGGACATTTTATGTAAACGTACATAGTTATGGCACATGGGATAGGCAAGATGCGTCCAATGCAGCCGTATCATTTCCAGCATAGCCCACTTGGCCTTTCCTTCCTCTCACTATGCCAAGCAAATATGAACGAAGATCATTAGCTATGGACATCTACTTGAATGAATCATCTCCACGCGAGTAAGGTTCGTCCAACCCAGCCACCACATTCGCCTCATCACACGGTTCCCGGGGCTGGGAATCAGTCGCACTGTCCGCAGCTTTCAGTATTCAGTGGCGAGCCGGCCGAAGAGGATCCGCAGCCGCCGCTGCGCTTTCGAGCCGCCCCGTCAGCGCCGGCCGTCCGCGGTGGCGGCGGGTGCGAGATTGCACCAGCGTGCGGCCGCGCCGCCAGCGGTGTGGCCGGTGTCACTGGACAGGGTGGCTGGTGTCACTGGACATTGGTGGTCAGTGTCATTCGTTAGAGGTGGCCCGTGTCATCAGGCAGGAGTGGCCAGTGTCACTGGATGGAGGTGACGCAATGTCCCTGCACGCATGTATCCGGCATGATTAGGCGAAGGTGGCCGGTGCCGGTGGGCGATCATTCGTGGGACAGCTACGGCTCTTTTCAAAACAAATCCCAAAACTGCATTTCACAAGTGACTCTGCATCCGGCCACGCCTATTTCTCCTTGACCTTAGATAACCCCAGTCCAGCCTTTGCCTTGGGGACCGCGACGCCGATGTGACACGTTGGGCTTGCCAAAGTCGTCTCGGGGCTGCGCGGGAAGGGTCGACATGGCGCAAGGCGATCAAGTCGTAGAGTTCTTATGTGCCACGCCAAAAACAGCGCCCCAAAGACCTAGAGAAGACATCAATTTACCTGTAATACAAAATTAATCATTTTACGTGATACCTTCTTACAAATGAAATCGATATATCCTTTAAATAATTGTATTATCTATAAAATTATTCATGCCATGTTATAACAGTTTCGCCCATATTTGTGGTATGTTTAAATCTACCACCTTCGCATGCTGAGAACTGACCATGCCTCTTCGACGACACAGTTAGAATGGATTGGACGCGCCCGCCATTTCGCCGTTGTCAGCGGTAAAACCCTTACCTTAAATAACATTTCCGAGCGCGTGCCAAGCGGTGTTCCTCGAGGCGCCCACGCACTGCTGGGTGAGACGCTTCATCTCAAGTACACCAGCATCGTGCCAAGGTTTCCCTCGATCACAATCCACCTTTTGACGCAGCGCATTTGCAAGGCGAAAAGAGCGAGAGACGAGGCTGAAGGAGTCGCGCAATCACCGCCGATCTTTCACGCATAGGCAATTGTCATTCAATACTGTGTCGTGCACACGCGCGCAGCAAATGCCTGGCCAGAGAGAGCTTGTGTCCCGACAGGTACAAAACAAGTGTCATACGGACTTGCATCCACCGCGCCCTCAAGCAGTGTTCGCCATGGCTCTTTGTGCAGGAGCACAAAGGAACGTAGGCGGGTCAAACAAATCCCAGCCGACAACGATCACGACGTGCGAACTGCGTAGGATCAGATCAGCTGGATTGTGTGACAGTACCTAAATCCGAAACCAAAAACAGAACACCAGAACACGAACCGCCTGTTCTTTAAAAAGACGTGATGTACCCTGGTTACAAAGCTGACGAAAAACTCTGCACGACATTGTCCATCACAATTGTCAAACGAAGGATACTAATGGCAGCATCAAACTAGTACGACTGCATCCTCGCTGATCGCAGAAAATAATTCTTCACATGACTCGGCTCCACTCAAAGAAATCAATGTCATATGCAACTATAAATGCAACATAGGAGACTCCGTCCTCCTACATAATAGTGTATGTATTGACCACACTATAGCGACACTCTCCAGACGTCTGGCTATGCACCCGCAAAACGGCGGCCATGCACACACTTTGAGACCCAACATAAAACACACCTGACACGCAAAATACTCAACACACCACAAGTCATCAAGTCGCAAGTCATCTCACGCTTTACATGGAGATGGAGACTCATCGCTCTAGAAATACACACATTTGCGGATGGCATCCTCTCATTAACAAATAAATGTGTGTGGAACCCCTCATCTGTATGGAGGGTCACCATTAGGGCGGAGGGCGCAGGATCAGTGAGTGTTTTGCGTATCACGGGTGAACGTTGTTATCTGTCAGTGAGGAGTCTTTGTGGTATGTAAATGCCCAGCTCTGTATTGTGATGTATATTGAGTATGTTTGCACCACACCGGTATTACAAAAACGGATGTATTTAGGCACAAGATCCAATATGCGCAAGCACGAGAAGACTTGGATGTTACAAATATGCGATTATATCGGCTTTGTCTAAAATCGACACTTTAGAAAATGTCGAATGAAGGATGAAACGTTGAAAAATATAACTAATACCAGACCATGCAATATGTCAGTAAATATCTTCTTTATATCATCAGCTTTGGTGCCAATATAAATGAACATCGGGAACGAGCAAGGAATGCCATCAGATGTCTGGAGAAAATATCCAAGAAGATCATCAATGATGAGTCCGCTGTGATTTTGTAACAAGACATCTTTAAATGATAATTTGCCTTCTAAGTTTATATTATACATCTATGTTTACATACTTATGTATATATATATATATATATATATATATATATATATATACATATCTGTATATATGTATATACATATATATGCATGTACATATGCATATATATACATATATTGGAATATGTAGGCAGCAAATTGTCTTCTATGCAAGTACTGTTGAAGACTTTGTCGTAGGTACATTTTATAAGTTTTTTCAGTCCTTGCTTCAGTTTTCTAATTATGTCTCTCTGCTCACCACTGAGACTAAAAGTAGCTCGACGGTGTTTTACATCTATTGATTGTACTGACGTTAAGGAATGACATATTCCATTTTTAAAGTTGCACACAGCCTTCAAGTGACGAATATGTGATAACATATTACAGTTGGATATAACAATTAGGTTTTATCAAGTTCAGTTAAATTGTCAAATTGTATAGAGTCTAAATGAGCTGGCTTACATGTTTTAAGAGCATATTAATTCAAGTGGCAAACATGTGCTGAGTAGTAAGATATGCCATCTACGGAAAGCATCGATCGTCCCTTAATGAGGTGAAGGATGACTGAGGGATTTGTGTGCTTGTTCAGTTCCGGTCACGATGTTTTGATTGTGACAGCCTCCAGAACATCAAGCTTCCTCTTGTTTGATGATAATATTATGGTGGTGATGTTTTTGTGATGAGGTTGTCTCGAATGATGCCCAGGCCGTGTTCTTTTCG